CCTCAGACAGTAATAGTTTCTGATTGGGTTTCCAGCTATCCAGTAATATGATATTATCATTATCTCTTATTATCATGCATCCATAGAGTGTCATTTGCACTATAGATATGTGTGACCTCATTTTATAAATACCATACAGAGACTGGGATTGTTAGAGTGTAAATTTCTCCAAGAGTAGATCTTGAGGCAAGGACTTCATGTTTATTTAGTAGATGTTTAGTTGGCATATGAGGTATATTTCGTAGATGATTTGAGGAAGCAAAAATGAGGGAATAGGGAATACGAGACTGAGAAGCGAGAAAGTTGATAAAGTGTGCGATAAGGTATAGATGACTGCTGTAAGCAGCTAATTTTCCATCACTCAGGTGCTTTGAACTAGCCATCAGAACTCTTCTAGGAATTGTCCAAAAGAAGGCTAGGGAAACCTTCGCGTTTATCCATTGATTCCTGTCCTTTAGCAGCAGAGTACTTGTCCTTGACACATTAAGTCTCAACCACTTCCAAACTACATTGTATATGGTCTGAGCAAGCTCTCAAGACAGTTTGCCCTCAGGAAAAGAAGTAAAACACTTGAGTTGGGAAGCTGCCAGCATTCCAGAAAAAGTCTACAGTGGCTGTAGGCCAAGTCGTGGTAGTCCAAAATGACCAGGGATGGGGAGACGGATGTGTCTGATACAGTGATATTTGCAATAGGAAGATGATGGCAAAGAGAAAATAATATAAAATAGACTTTTTGACTTAGGCACATATGTCCATGATGTCACAATATTAAGATGGTTTTGTCCCTACTATCTTTGTGTTAAATTTGTTTTCATTTGGTTGATGAGGCTAAAAGCATTGAAGTATTACCTAACATATTTATAGTGGAGACAAAATCCAGCTTAAACTCAGTGCAAGTGAAGAGTGAAGGAAGATCAATCTTTGAAAGAATTATTAATTGGCTAGATATGTTCTGCTGTCAATATTGGTGAACTTGCCATACGTTAAACACGTCATCATTCAGGGCTTGCATATTCCCTTTCTTCTCTCATAGTGTACCTAAATGTATTAAGGGAATTTTCTTCTTGTCCTGTTGCCTTTCATGTTAAAAATTGTACATTCCACAAGTGAATAACAAAAAATATTTTTGAAAGATGGGAAGAGGAGTGTAGGAGACCTTCCCACACCTCTGCACAAGTCCCAGTTATATGACACAGGCATACCACAAACCATGTTATTCTGCACATAGAATTTTTCCCACATCTTTGAGAGTCTAGCATAACAAGATGTGATTATAATGAAGTACAATTTTAAACATTTTTCAATGATCATGACAAGCCACAAAATAATGGTTTGAGGGTTGGCATTGAATCCCACAGCTTCCATCAGATAAAAGGTTTGTTGTTCAGTTTCCCTATTTCTTTCCAGTTAGTGCTTGGGTAGAGGTAGTGGGGGGAGTAGCATATAAATTATCAATTTAGTTGTGTTTCAGAAGAACTCAAGGGATTTTTAAAATACCCACAGCTAGTGAGTATAATACTGTACATCTTAAGTTATAAAATATTGGTATTCACTTAGTAGGATTGACCAAGCAACACATTTTGTCAGATGCCAAAGTTGGAATTAGAAAAGTTTTATGTTAATTTTATATCCTTCTCTAATGCCACTTTATTGCAGTTAGAGATCTTTTATGGAGATAATGCAGTGTGTTTTACGCAATAAGGAGTGGAAACATATATAAGCACTCATGGCCTTATTAGCTGTGTTGGATGTTTGTCTCTTTTTTTGTAATTTTAAAATAGTATGTGTACCTATTTCTGCTGGTGTTAACTCACCCAAAGACTAATGAGCCTGACGTATTTTTAGAGCCGTTCAAGGTTCTTCCTTCTTTTGTCCTCCCTCTTTCTTTCTATCACTCATTTGAATGGGAAGACGATGTTCTCACTGTGACCAACCCATTTATCTCAGTTGAAGCTATTTCCCAAATCTTATGGAACACTTAGTGCAGATGGGGGGTTTGAATTTGCCTAGGAGGACATCCTTAGGCTTCAGATCCATTCCCCAAGTCCTAGTGCAGCTCTGGAGATTTTCCTTCCATCAGATAAAAGATTTGCTGCTCAGATTCCCTGTTTCTTTCCAGTCAGTGCTTGGCTGGGGATTGTGGTGGGAGGAGCACATAAATTATCACCTCAGTTGTGTTTCAGAAGAACTCCAGGGATTTGTAAAATTACAACACTTCGATGTTGGGATGAAGAGGTTGGACAACTGTACAAACTACTGTGGAATTTTGTGTGTTAACTTTAGGTAGCTTAAAGCATTACACTTTGTCATTTTCTCTTTTTGGTTGCTACTAATGAACATTTATTTTTATTTTTAAAAAATATTATGTTAACTTTGTGAACAGATTTTTGGATAGAGTAATTTTGTGAGGTAGATTTAATCTACCAAATTTATCTTGAATTTCTCTTCTGATTTTCTTGAAATTCCGCTTTTTTAGAGACATCAAGAGGTTTTAGTTTTTAAGGCTATGAGACTTTAAACATTTTCTTATAGCATTAATTTCTTGACCAGTCTAGGATTGATTTCCTATATGGATGAACTAAACATCTAATTTCATCATCTTCTATAGGGATAATCATTTTCTCCAGCTACAATTATTGATTAGACCATTTTTGCCTCACTGCCCTAAGACGCCACCTCTGTCATACACTACAGTTATGTACAATCATGGGTCTTTTTCTGAGTGCTCCATTCTGTCCCACTGATGTATTTCCTATCCTTGTGCCAATGTCATATTGTCTCCATAACTCTGGCTTTATAAGTTTTAATACCTGGTACTGCAAGTCCTTTCAAAGGTTTCTTGCTTGTTCTTTATGATTTGCATTTTCTAAATACATTTTAAATTAGTAATTCTACAATTCTACAGAAGGTCCTAGTGAGATTTTGATTGGAAAGGAATTGAGTAAATAGATTAATTTGAGAAGAATTGACATTTTTATAACACCAAGTTACGCAATCCAGGAACATAGTGTTTCTATCAATTTATTTAGAACTTCTATAATGTTTCTCAATAATTTTTTTTAAAAAAATCAGAATTCTCACTCTAGGCCAAACTTTTTTAATTA